GATCCTAGCGTACCCGTTCAAAGGAGACAAGATGGCACCACTGACAGGCCATCCAAACCAAATACCCTCTCATCGTACATCGTGCCATGTCATTGGTCTGGGGGGGTACATCACCTTATCCACAACCCGAAGCAGACAGCATCATAGTGTAAAATTCCATCCTTACTTCGCTATGCTCCATTAACCGACTGCGCAGTACGTGTACTTATCCCTAGCCTATTCCGTTACGGCTCTTGTTCCATCAGGTGTATAAACGTTACTGCGCTTTGGTGTTGTTGTTGATGTTATTCGAGGTTGCCTCCAACACGCCGTTGGCATAGCTGCAGCATGTGGACTCCAGCCACATACTGTTGAACATGCAATGCAGCAGCGGGCTGTGTGACAAGTTCATGCTTTTGCTCTGCTTAGCGCCGTTTCTCGTAGGTTGGTAGGCTGTCAAAGGCTGAGAAATCGATGCACATAGATGAGCGCGGCCAGTTGAAGGGAGGCGTGGGGTCCACGACTGGTAGACGCATGCCAGCAGTGGCGATGTCTCAGCCTTCTCTTTACCAATAGATGAACTCACTATCGCCCTGGCAGCACTCTCTTCATTCTTGATAATTCCAACCATTCTATTCAATCCAGTCGCTTCCACCAGATTTTGGGGTTATGGATTACCGCGACGGCGTTCGAAGCGTCCATACCGCCTTCCAGGACCTCAAGCGAGACCTTAAATCAACACGATGGCTGCGAGGACTAGGCTGGTTCTTTGGGGCCATCTGGATTCTCGGTCTTGCAGGCACTCTGGTATTAGTCGCCGTCGGAGCGGTGTGGCTGTTTCGCTCTGACCTCGAGGCTTGCCAAGCGGACGGCAGTTTTCGTCTGGATCCAAGGACTTATAGCATGTGGTCGTTCTCTGGCTTTTTCCAAGTTACGTTAGGTGGAGGACATCTGACGTTCGCAGTAGCAAAAGCGATTGATATTATATGGGACGTTGTAAGCTGGCCAGAGTTTGAAAGCACGGAATTCGATACTGACAACTGATAGGCCGTGGGCCGTGGAGGTCAACTATTGTTGGCGGTCGTATCATGGCGGGAGTTCGCAAGGTATCTGACAATATGCATGGAAGACAGACCCGTCACCTATCGGCTATTGCGGACGATATTTATCGAGAATGATGCTTCACTATTATCAACATGCCAGACTATCAAGAGTTCCGTTTGGCAGCGCAGACTACGTTCCAAAACCGCCATGGTTTTCATTCTCTCATTTCCTACGCTCATGAGCGCTATGAGTGACTACGACTCCAACGTTGTGTCTCGTGTCCAAGATGGCGAGGATAACCTTGTACCCTTCGACAAGTATTCCCGGCTACTCTACGTAATACACGATGGTTGGAGAATCCAAGAACATGTCATCCCACAGGATGGCAATTACTGGATTATCGACATGGCAAGTCGAAGTGAGCATATTCCTGTCACTGTTTCCCTCAATCTCCGTCTGAGTAGGATCGTTCAATAGCCGAAACATGCAGATGATCCTGTGCTGCGCTCAGAAGAGTATTGTAAACTCCACGCACCATGGAGTGTCGGGACTGAGTGTATCCTGGTAGAAGCTGTGTCTCAATGTAAGACCGTACGTGATCAGTACTGTTTGCCTGTTAAGCAGCCACAGATGTCGAGGACTATGGACTTGGCGGAACCTTGAATGAATCATCTCGATTCATGGACGAGCTTATAACCGCACCCGCTCTCAACATATCTGCATACAAAAGCGAAGCCGAGAGCCTTGGGGGGCAAGACTCCCCCGATCTACTAAGCATCACTTGGGTGAGGGGAAATAAAACGTTTGACCACGCATACATGGAGCTTCACGGAAAGTGTCAGAACACGGGAGTGGGTCGCCATTGAGCCTTGATGTACTGATGTCTTACTGAACGTGTACTATAGGACTACCAATGGTGATTCTCCCTTTTGGAGCTCATTATCTGCCTTGGACTGCTGCTCGCATGGACAGTCGGGATCTATATAATGTGGATCTATACACATTACGCCATCGCGTCCAACAATGGCCACTTCGAAGACGTCCGTGGAGAATATCGCGCAGTTCTCGAATTAACAGCAGCCATGAGGATTGAGCTCGATGTAGAGGACACTGATCTTTCACTGCTTAGGGAGAAGCAGCTCAAAGAAAGGATCGATAAAGAGATCCAGGGTGGCACAATCTTCCACGCTTATCCTGACTCTAGACTGAAAGTTCATAGTATTCGAGAAGGCCTCAAGACTTGGTTCAAGAAAGAGATATGGTGGTTTTCGGCGATGTTGGGTACAAGCCTCTTTTGCTCGACTGGAATGTTGTACCTTTGGCACCGGCACTGGTTCTGGTTATGGCTGTGGGCCTGGGCAGTTTGGGCAGGCCAATTCTGGGCTTTCTGCATAAGCACGACTTTGGGCAGTCGGCTGCTCATTGTTCTGTTTTGCAGCCTTGTGACTGGACTTGCTTTAGGCATTACGGCAGCATTGCGAGGATATATGTTGAGGTAAATAGTGGGCCACGTTTCCAAGTCCCTCTTCTATGGTCGGGTACCTTGAGTGATACATCACCTTATCCATGACCCAAGGCATGCATGATGACGGTGCAAAACGCGATGTTTACTACGCTATACTCCGTAAAATGACTAGACAGCAGTACATGTACTGGCCCCTAGCCCGCTATTTTACACTTCTGCCTTTACGGCCGTAGAACTCCCATAACCTTTAACCCTCAGAATACGCCAGACGCTCCGCTCGAAAGAAATACCACTCCATCTCAATTCACCTGACCTTTGCTCTGTGCGGATGCAAGGCTTTGGTCAGTTGCATAGCGGGAACCGTCCTCCTCTTCCGAGTACAGAGTCTGATCGCCTTTACCGCCCATCTCGACGAATTCGTTAGGATTTCGCTCATCGGCAGGCCTTACCTCTGCAGCCCCTTGGGTCTTGCCGTTCATCTTCGTACCGTTCTCAACTCCATTCTTTGCGTAAACCTTGACGGGCTCTTGGCCTTCAGCGGCGTTGATGACACGAGTGACCTTAACATCGTTAATGCTACTAAGCATAGTGCGCTCCCGTTGTATCTTGCGCTTGGAGAAATCGAGCTTGGATATGGCCCCCGTGAGACCGTCTGTGCTATCGGTGACGCTTATTCTGTCTTGCGTAGTCCACGGGTGCTGCAGGCATTCATCAATTGATATCCGTTTCTCAACATCGACTGTGAGCATCTTGTCGATGAGATCCAGCGCGGGGTCGCCAACGGAATCCCAGTACGGTGACGGATAGTCGAAGCGGCCCATTTTGATCTGTTGTGATAGTGTGTATGGGTTCTCCTCACTGTACAGCTCGTCTGAGAATGGAGGGAACCCACACAGGCAGATGTACAGTACGACGCCTAATGACCAAACGTCCACAGCTCTGGTGTAGCGACGGTGGTTGGAATTTTCCAGAATTTCAGGCGCAACGTCTGAAAAACATTAGCATACTGTCGTACTTTGGAATAGGACAACATACATGACGGAGTTCCACACAGTGTGGTTGTGAAGGATTCTTCGCCGATAATTTTGGCAAGACCAAAATCAGCTAACTTGATCGACAGATCCTTATCTGTAAGCAATATGTTCTCGGGCTTGATATCTCTGTGTACAATGTTGCGCTCATGCTGACATGTGTTAGCGTTGAACCAGAAGGAAATATGAGAACTTACCAAGTACTTAACCGACTGGAACAATTGCACGAATACCTTGCGTGCCTCCGCCTCGGTCAATTTGTTTCATGACGATCCAGTTGAACAGTTCGCCCTCAGTCGCGAGCTCGAGCACCAGGTAGACACCATCATCCTCATCGAACGTGTCCTTGAGACAGAGCAGCGCCGGATGGACACTCATCAGCACGGCGATCTCTTGCTGCAGACCCTCGACCTTGGACTTTTCGCCAGGACCAGAACGCTTCTCGAATTTCTTCACTGCGTACCGTACGCCTGTCGCTTTCTCTGCGCAGAGGTATACTGAAGCAAAATGTCCCTTGCCTAACTGCTCCTGCATAGTGTATTGTTGTCGAAACCGGTGGGTGTTGCGCTTCAACGGGTACCTGAAGACATAGCGGGCTTGGTCCAAGATGGCAATCTCGTCACCTTCGCGCAGCTCGCGTCGCTTGTTCCGTCCAACGAAGATGTCGTTGACAAATGTTCCGTTTCCAGACAAGTCTTCGAGTACAGCGACAACATCGCCGCCCTTCTTCTCCGTGAAGAGCAGACAGTGCCGGTTTGATACGGTAGGTGAACTGAGGACTCGATCTGTGGCATGGTCAGACAAGCATTCTTGGGCAAGGACTGTTTCCGCGACTTACCACACTCTCTGTGGCGACCGATGAGGTAGCCACCTGCTGGTACACCGTGCTCCTGCTTCTCCTGCTCGTATTTGTCCTCCTGCTTTTTGTACTCTTCTTTGCTTACCCGCTCTGTTCCTTCGGTCTGGCCAACGAGTGCCTGAGGGACCGGACAGGCTTGTCGCCGGCGCAATACTAGCACGTCTTTGTCCCGGCCATCCATAGGCACCAGGTAGCCCCAGACTTCCTCTTCCTCTTCATCTTCTACGGCGTACGTCCGGCTGTCGGGCGGGTAGACAAACTGGGAGAAGGGCTGGGTGTCGGATGGGGGCGACGAGAGACCACCGCGTGCCTGGCTTGGCTTGCTAGGCGGGGGACTCTGTGTACCTTCTTTGTAGCCTTCCGAAGCGTCTCCGGTGGATTCCTTGTGGGTTACAGGCGAAGGCAACGGTCCCTGCTTAAGACGGCCGTTGGGAGGCGGCGACAGGCGCGAGTGGCGAGTGCGCTTTGGTTCGGCCTCTTCGCCCTGCGAGTACTACAGCAATTGAAGCGTCAGCGCCCGCTCCCAGTCACATACTTGGCAGCATAACGGCTACATACGCGGTTTCGCTTGAGCTGGCTTTTCTCAGTCTGGGCCGGCATCCTGACAACAAGGGCGAGTAGTGGAGTCGAGACGGAGATGGCGACGGAGACGGGGTCAATGCTGGCGCGTGTATGACTGTGTCTAGATAGGCAGCATAGTGTTGCGAATGATGGAAACGAGTAGTAAGGGCGGGAGAGTCTGGGCCGCTAAGCTGTACTGAGATTGAACGTCCGCACGCCCTCGAGACTTGAACGATGTTGCAGGCAGCCAAGCCCTGGAGCCGGGGAAGTCGCGTCCCACCCCTGCCGATTTGCGCGTGGCGAGCCTGCCGCCCTGTTGAGTGGTCCGGAACGACGTACCGGCTACACCTATACGCTGCCCACTTTGTCAACCTGCAACCTGCGTCAACTGCCACCCATGAACTGTATCCGAGTCACCCTATGACAGCTTCCTCATTTGCATTACTCAGCCCGAACAAATTCACGCAAAAGCATGCTTCCAGGTTTTCCTCACCTCGACGCAATTGAGTTTGAGCAGGCCTGCGATGCGCTGCAGCGATGCTTTCAGCTGAGAGGTAGCGCGCAGCACGAGTGGCTTTCCGTGGAGAAGAGGCACCGAAATGGGTCCGTATATCTCAACATTACCACCCATCTGCCGCTCCATGCAGATCGACCTGCGGTGCATGATCGGGACGCTATTGAAGAGAATGAAGTAGTGGACGACGACGAGGTGGGTGATGCCAGGGCCCTGATCTGCCGATACGAGCTCAGTTCAGGTAGGAAGCTCTTCGCGATGCCGTAGCACCCCAGCCAGTTGTAGACTACGACATTGTCCTATCGGATGTCTATCGCATGCCCGTCTTGTACATCAGCATTCGTGACCCTCAGCACCGGTATCCGCCGACAATGACTACGTTGTACGAGCACTTGGTCCCGCCGCAGTTCAAAGCTCAAACAGAGAATGCTGGTGTCATTGGAGGCATTACTATCACTGTGAGAAGTGTGATCCCATGTGTTGGATTCAACTAACCATCGCAGGAGCACCCGCTAACCAACAGACCTGTGTTCTTCATCCATCCATGTCAGACGGCTGATGTGATGGAGGCCAGTGTCGAGAGCGTTATATCAGCAGATAAGTATATGACCATATGGATAGGGGCCATGGGAAAGTCCGTTGGTCTGAACATGCCGCTACAACTAGCAATGCCAAACGATACTTAACATTGACATGCCTGATTTATGATTGGTGCCACCATATAATACAACTACAACCGCATCCGCACGCTTGCCTTCTCCAGCTCGCCAATGTTCCCCATACCCGCCAAACTCCACTTCTCCGCTACGAAGCCCTCGTTGACTTGGTGTCGCAACATGCCGCTTTCGGCATAGTACTCCATGATTGATCTGGCCTCTTCCTTGGTCAGCCCGCCAACGTTATAATATCAGCTCCATGGACGATGGTGGCATCTGGGGTCGAGTCGCTAGGGAGTCCTGCGACCATGACGCGCACGTCTACGCTCTTGTAGGGGTTCCATTACTGGACGTAGCTTCGGACTTTTGACGGGCGACCGCTTTCGAGCGAGTGGTACATCGCTGTGTAGGCGGGGGGCGTTCGATCTTTTGTTAGCGCGCCGAGCACCACGCCGCCGTTGGGTAATTTCTTTGGCCTGAAAGATGATCGACGAAATGGCGGACAAGAGTCAGGTCGTGGGCGTGGATAGGCTTTACTTCCGCAGACATGTACTCGGAGTGGCGCATAACATGCGATAGGCCGTCGAGTGCAAGCAGGATTTGTGGACGGCCTGGTAGAGATAGCTCATTCCATAACGCAACAAACACTGGCCATGATGCTTCGGGATTGGCCATACCAAGCGCCGCCAGCTCTTTCAGTGTAGCGCCCGCAGGAAGTGGCAGAGGCAGTTCAGGCTGCGTGCTAAGTTTTGTGGCTGCGAGGAATGCTCCGTTGGACATGAGGATTTGCTGGAGGAGATTCGCCGTGTATGTATCTTGAGTGTACTGCATCGGTTCTGAGTTGGGAAGAGGCGCATAGTCGGTATGCGCGTTGACGAGGGTCTGGGCTGAGATTTGTTAGTGGCTTGTCTCTGCCTCGAAATCACAGTCCATACCTTCTGGTAGGTTGATCACAAACCAGTCCCGTAGAAAACCCATAGTCAGACCCTGAAGTACCAATGTGCTCTTCCCGCTCATTCTTTGCCCGCACAGTATCCGTCTTATTGTCTTCTTGGAGCTCTCGGCCTCTTTGAACAGCCTCGCGAGTTCAATCGCCTCCTTTCTCATCAACACGGCTGGTCGGCGGAACAGACCCCATCCCTGGGTTGTTTTGAATGCCTCGACGGCTCGCAGCGCATCCACTACAGTCTCTTGTGGTAGCCCCATAACCTTGCCCTCATTCTGTTCGCTGAGGACATTGTCCTTGGTGAGGTCCCGCAGCGAAGATACTTCGAGTGCGTTGTCGTTGCTCAGAACGATGCGCTTCCGTTGGGCTTTCCGCTCGCCTTGGGCTGGCCGCTTGCCCGAGTCACCTCCTGATGCTCCTCTCCCCTTCTTCGTGTTCAGAGACTTGACACCCTTCTTGGGGGCGGCGGTCATGCCCTTCTTCTTGGGTCCAACCACAGCATAGCGGGCGGACGACGTGGAAAGCAGCAGGCTATCGGGGGCGTAGCACGCGCGGTGCAATGCATCCATGGGCGGCGGCATCAAGCGACAGCTGCGAGAAGCTCCGGAAACATGTGGAAGGCGGCATGACGGGTGGTCGAGGCTCTGGCCCTCCGCAATGGGCGAATTGGCGATGCTAGAGACGAATTCTGTGATGGTCGCAGCCTCGGGAGTCCGCCGCTCGTGCACGGACTCGAAATTTATTCTGAACTTTTGGCAGCAGGCGCGCAGAGCGAAATTCTACCAAAACCACTCGACCCTCGCAAAATGTCAGACACAGAAATGGACGGCGGCGTCGCGCTCGGTGGCACTTCGCCCACGCATTCCCAGCTCGCCGATGAAATCAACGGAGGCGCCATGGACGTCAAGTCCAACGGCGCACCTTCCGTCGCAGACTCGACCGTCTCCAGCCGACTGTACGTCGCATGCTTGCTTTGTCCTCTACTACACCGTTGCTTACTCAACAAAGACCCATTACTGTGAACAAGCCCACGCCCTTCACCTTTGACCTGGGAAACCTGCTCGCAAACGACCCCAACCCCGTCCCCGCCGGCGCCGACGAAGCAACCCTCACTGCCACTGCCCGCGATGCCGCTCAAGCCCTCATCAACCAGCTCCTCTCGACCTGCGAAATCAAGTCAAACTCAGAGGGCGTCCACCTCGTCCTCCCTGCGCCGACAACACCCCTCCCCCGCGAGAAGCCTATTCCCGAAGCCAAGGAGCCCACCAAGTGGGATAAGTTTGCTGCGAAGAAGGGCATCAAGAACAAGAAGCGCGACACTAAGCTGGCCTACGACGAGGCTACGGGCGACTGGGTACCCAAGTGGGGTTACAAGGGCAAGAACAAGGCGGGCGAGAACGACTGGCTGGTCGAGGTTGACGAGAAGAAGGAAGCCAAGACCGGTGAGGCTCACGACCAGAGGGCGGATAATCGGAAAGAGCGGAAGGAGAGGATGCGGCGCAACGAGAGGAAGGAACGGGCGAACAGCGTCAAGTCTCGAAAGGTTGGTGCGTGAGCTGGAGCACTTGACCTTTATCTGAGAGAGGTCAATTTATAAAACGACATGCATTGGGCGGCGTTAATCTTACGGCATGTATTCGACTTGTGGGCGCAGGGCTAAAAGCTTGCGAACTTGCACTTTATTGATTCTTTCCGAGGCTGCAACATTGTCTCCCAGATACCATGAGTAACCACGCCGTCGAATATACTATTTCTGCACTTTATCCAGCCACGGATCTACCAACCAAGTGCGTTTGAGTCGGAACTTTGAAAGCTTACTTCAACAAGCTAGCGTTCAGAAGTTCTGATAGTGCCATGTCTATTGTGACGCGACTAGAGTCCGTTCTAATATTCTACCCAAGCCTCAACTCTACATTTTAGAGAGTATATAAGAAATCCGGCCGCTGGTCCCCCATCTCCTCAATCTCTTTTTCACTCTTACCCTCAATCCAGTGGTCCCTTGCTCCCTGCCTCCTTTTCTTGTTCTCCCACGCAAGCAGAAATCGGGTCACAATACTCCCGCCAAGCAGCCACAGCGTCAGATATGCCAGAACTACACCATGTCCCAGGAAATAGCGCGGCTTATCCCTACTGCGGTAGATGTTCGACGAAACGACGCCATTGATGTTGCCCCAGCCTATCACAAAGCCAAGGGTGACGCCACGCTTGTACACGCCCTCGACGTTGTTGGCGGCCCAGGATATAGTATTCGCTATTGTTGCTAGTGGAAATTGTTAGAACCAAGCGATCCATGCTGCTAGATGAGTTCACTTACGATAGATACCCACAGCTCCCAAGAATGTACCCGCGTACTGAACATTCGGACTTGCAGATCCGAAGAAGGCAACATGCAAAG